CATTTTACATATACACTTCCATAAATTAAAAGGAATGAAGTTATTATAGTTAATATATGCAAATCGTTATCAAATCGTATATTTTCCTTTTCTTCCATTACATGTGTGCGATATATATAAATATATAAACTATGTTACATGCGTTATATGCGTCTCTAATTATTTTTCCCTAGCAAATTTCAATTGAACCTAAAGCCGCTATGTCAGTTTAATTGATATGCTAATTGATTGACAACTAAGCAAGGTTACTTTTTAATTAATACAAACTTGAGGTTACATCTTTTCAAATGTTTCTCAATTAATATATAGGGGATATCTATAAACAAATATAATCAATTTAAATAAATTATAATAAATTATTGTTCATACACTCAAAATATTTAATAATAATCTAAACAAATTCTTTTTATATATAATTTTGTCATCATCATATAAATAATTTTCATACACAAATTAAATGTGAAAATACTCATAAATTTAAAATATTTAGTAATAAATTAATATCATTTTTAGACATAACAAAAAAGTATAATAAAATTATCTTTAGTAATGTAAACTATCTATACAGAAATTCTTTGCGAATTATTTTTTTCATAATTAAATATATATTAACAAATATAATTATTTTTCAAGGTTAATAAAGACTTATAACACAATTATAAAAAATTAGATAATGATAATTATCAAATAAATGAAATTCGTTTTTAATTTATAATTAATGATGTATTACTAAAAATATAATTATATTTCAAGGTTAATAAATATTTTATAACCCAATATAAAATAGTTTTAGATAAAGATAAATCTAAAATCATTGAAATTTTTTTTTACTTATGTTTAATTATATATTTAATTTTTAATTATTATATAGTAATAAATCTTTTTTGGTCAAATAGTAATAAGTATTAATCATTATATAGTAATAAATCTAGTTAGTCATTAAGTTTATGTTTGTTTTGTTAGTATAAATCATAAGAACATGACAGTTAGATTTACTATCCTTAATGGTGAAGCAAACATAAACTTAATGACTAATTAGATTTATTACTATATAATGAAAAATTAGATTTATTATAATCATTAGTCTAGATAATGATAATCATCAAATCATAAGAAACATGACAAATAAGATTTGTTTCTAATTATTACATAGTAATAGATCTAATTAGTCATTATATATTAATAAATGCAATTAGTCATTAAGTTTATGTTTGCTTTGTCATTAAGGGTAATAAATCTAATTAAAATACGGTTCATAATTATATAATAATAATTTTAAGTAGTCATTAATTAAGGGTAATAATTAATCATTAGTCAAAATCATAAAAACATGATAAATAAGTATAATTACATAAAATTATGGAGAATATGATAAATCAGCAAATTCACTTTTTTAAATATAATTAATTTATTGTTATTTATATATTAATTCAGTTTTAGTTTATGGTTTATTAATATTAACTATTTTTAGATAATAATAGTCATCAAATCAGTGAAATTTGTTTCTAATTTATGGTTGATTATATATTAATTAAATATATTTTTCTGATAACAACACAATATATATATATATGAATTATCTTTTTATTTTATTTTTAAATATATATTTAGATTATGTATAATTCTTATCATTATTATTAATTTAAATCATTTATCTAATCAAATAAATATAAATTCTATTTTTTTATTTTAGGCTGATTTATATATTTTATCCATTAAGCGTATAAACGATATTAACCACTCCAACTTTTAACGTGGAAGCTCCGTTGCGAAAAATCACTTTGCAAATTTAAGTGAATTATCTGATTTGTAATTTCTCCATGATTTAGATAATTGTGATTATTTGTCATATTTTTAATAATTTCATATAAAATAAAAATGAATTTATATTAAAATTTTATATTTTTCTAAAGTAAGATAATTCTTATGTATTATGTTGTTATGTTGAAAATATATTTCCTTTTATAAAACTTGATATTAAGATATAAAAATTATACTATTAATAATTAAATATAAATCATCAAAACAATTATTTGAAAAGTGAATTTTTTTATTTGTCTTCATGTTCCTAAATAATTTTGATCATTTATCAGAATTACTCTAATTTTTTAATTATTGATTATATAATTAAAACTAATTTATACTAACAATATGATATTTTAGAAAATAGGTTAATTCTTATGTATTATGCTCTGTTATCTTGAAAATATATTTATCTATTATAAAATTGAAAATTAACATGTAAAAAAATCTAAACATTTATTAAAAAAATGAATATAATGTTTGTTGTTTTGTCATACTTTCCATGATTTTAGGTAATTTTGATAGTTTATCATAATTTCTGTAATTTTATAAATAATTTATTATATATTTAAAACAAATTTATATTAATAACATCAGATTCTTAGAAAATAAGATACTTCTTATGTATTAAGTTGGTCTCTTGAAATATATTTTTCTATTAGAAATTTAAAATTAAGATATAAAAAGTTCTAGTTATTTTATAATTGAAATAAATTTACATTAATAGTACATAAGAATTAACTTATTTTCTAAAATATCATATTATTAATATAAATTAGTTTCAATTATATAATCAATAATAAACAAAATTATAGAAATTCTGATAAATGATCAAAATTACCTAGGATCATGGAGACAAATCTCAAATTTACTTTCAAACAATTATTTTGATGATTTATATTTAATTATGATTATATGTAATTATTAATAATATACTTTTTATATCTTAATTTTAAGTTTTATAATAGGAAAATATATTTTCAACAAAACAACATAATACATAATAATTATCTTGTTTTAGAAAATATTAAATTATTAACATAAATTCGGTTTATTTATATTTAAATATTAAATTATTAATCTAAATTCGTTTAAGATAAGTATAAAAGTCTTTATATCTTAATTTAAAATTTCATTTTTATAAATAAAAATATATTTCAAGATAATAACATAATTCAATAACAACATAATTCACAAGAATTATCTTATTTTCTAAAAATATGATATATTCATATAATTCATTTTATTTATAAATAAAATATATAGAAATATGATAAAATTATCTAAACTTATAGAGAACATGAAAACTAAGAAAATTTATAGAAAATAAGATAATTCATATAAATTCGTTTTATTTATAAATAATATATATATATATATATATTAAAAATATGATAAGTAAATAAAATTACCTAAACTTATGGAGAACATAACAACTAAGAAAATTTGCTTCTTAAATAATAGTATAGAAGATTCGTTTTATTTATAAATAAAATACATATAACTATTAAAATTATGATAAATAAATAAAATTACCTAAACTTATGGAGAACATGACAACTAAGCAAATTTACTTCTTATATAATAGTATAGATTAACATATAAATTAGTTTGATTTGAATATTTGAATTGTTAATCAATATTTTTAAAGTATTTTTGATGTTATGAGTGTATTTTAGCAATTTTTGATATGTATGTTTGACTATTTACATATATTTACAAGTATTTTGAAAAACTTCAAAATATTTTATATATATTGAATGTTTTTTTTATATATTAAATCTAAAATAATTAATATATATAGGTATATAAATCTTTTCGGATATATTCGAGTACCTGAAATACTTCGGTTCGGATCGGGTTTAATTTCGGTTCTTTAGATACCAAAATTTTGAACTCATCCGAATATTGAATCAATTTCGGTTCGATACTACTTTTTCGGATCGGGTTCGGTTCTTCGGATTCGGATTTTTTGTCCAACCCTAAGTAAAATGATGTGAATAATTCACTCAATCAATTATATAAAATTTTACCAAGATGCATAAATTGGAATAATTATTCTATAAATTGCACAAAAGTAAAATTCAAAAAATATTGTATTAGAATTTTGATTTAAATGAACAACATCAATTTATTCTATTTTTATATTAGTTATTTTGTTTTCTTCATTATATTTATTTATTTATTTATCATTCAATCTAATTTTTAATATTTCATATCAGTTCGTTATAAACTAAACCTATTTAACACATCAATATTAAAGTATAATAATTTCAGTAAGAAAAGAGATTTTGTTACGATACTTGATGATACCATTTATTTTATTAGGGTTTATAGTTGTAAATTTGTAACTATTAAGGGACAATGTTTAGATTATTAAAAAGAAATGGAAAACATACAAGTTGGTATTGTTATGGACTTATGGGTTTGTATTGGAAATGAAGGGGTTAAGACGTATAAAGTATGGAAATATAGACCAAGTTAGAGCATATTCATATATATATTTTTGAAGGGTCAACTTTGTTTGTCAGCGCCCAGCGACACCGTGTCACTTTCTAGCTGCGAGCGACAAACGGCACGACGTGTCGTTTTCGCCGTTTCAAATGACGTGGTTCCGGTGATTTTCAGCATTTCTTACACCTTTGTTTACAATATCATTTTACACCTTACGGATTTTGAGAAACAATCAATCATAAAGAATATTTCTTCTGACAGTTTCACCGGAAAAAAAAAACAAGCTAAAACTGTTTTTGTTCAATCAGGAGTAATATCCATTCCAAGGAGGTCAAGATCATATATAGAATCCAACATGTATTAAAAGCTAAATATGAAAGTAGATGACTCTAGCAATTAACAACAAAAAATGCAAAATTTATTAATAATTAGACTCTTTGAGATGAACAAAAGAAAATTGGACTCTTTGGAATTTTGTAAGCACCAGGTTTTTTTATTCCAAACCAGAACAGAGTTTTCGTCACATGGAACTATCAATCATATAATTTGTTAAAACATATGCTTAAATCTCAATATCAGTAGCAAAATTAACCCTCATAGGAACACACTAAGAAAACTCGAAAATTCATTCCAACATAATATTCAGTTTACATTTATATCTTGAATTCTTGATGAACCTAGAAAGTATTAAAAAATACAAAAGATAGAACGTAGTAGTTCAAAACACTTTTTTATTTCACAAACAAAGTAGCTTAGGCCATTGAAAGAAAATCACTTCCAATGATAGTTGATTTTGGATTACTCTATTCGTCTCTTTGGGCTTGGTCAGACGGATCATCACTCCTATCTTCTTGTTGGGTCTGAGTTGCAGAGTCATCACTCCTAGGCTGCTGTTGTCGTTGTTGTTGGCTGCTGGAACTCGGTGAATCTCCACTCTGTGAAGAAAACAACAAGCAAAGAGCAAAATAAGAAAAAAAAACAAGCGTTACTTGTATGCCAAGTCATCCAACAAGCCCTAAGAGAGATTTGATAGGGTTTTCACCTGATGCTGCCGAATTGATGACATGTAGTTTCCTGGGGCACCATCATAACCAAACCTCGAGTTTGCAGACGTGTCAGAGTGGTTATCATAACCGTAAGCGTAAGGACCCATATAAACATCATAATTAGGAGGAACATGTTGAGGCATGTTGTAGTTGTAGATGTCGTTCTGTTCTGGTCGCCAGGAAGAAGATGTCACCATAGTACCATAAGGCACCAAGTTACTAGTACTACCACCATGTTGATGAAATGGTGGTGCTGATGGTGGCAAGTAAGAAGGCCCCATGTTGCTACCACCATGTTGCTGAAATGGTGGTGCTGATGGTGACAAGTAAGGAGGTCTTGTGATATTATCATACTGCCCTGAAGGAACTTGCCACTGAGGGTAATGAGGGTTCATGACTTGTTGGTTCCCCTGTGTCTGTGGTAGGTTCATGGCTTGTTGGTTCCCCTGTGTCTGTGGTAGGTTCATGACTTGTTGGTTCCCCTGTGTCTGTGGTAGGTTCATGACTTGTTGGTTCTTCTTTGGTACAAAGTCAGTAGCTGTTGTCAATGCCTGCGCCAAAATGAAAATTAAAACTATAAGTATAAATCAAAGAGGTTAAAAGAAGTAACAAAAAAAATATTAATGGTTTATGAGAAAAAGACTTTACCTTGGTCATGGAAACAGATGTCCAACGACCAGGTGAAGATGCAGTAGTAGTAGTACTGCTTTGTCCTGCTTCAAGATAGTCTGAGGAGGAGGAATCTCTGTGAAAAAAAATACATTTTAAAGATCATTAATAAGAGCATATAATAAAAATGGAGAAAGCTAAAGAAGTAAGTAGACTTACAGTTTGCTCAGCCCTTTATGTTGCACTCTAGATGTGTAATCAAATGAATCAGTAACGTATATATCATCAGGCAAGGGATCGTCTTCACCTGACTTTACTGGCACACTCTTGGTCTCAACATTTGTTATGTCACTGCAAAGAAAAAAGGAATGTGGTTACAAAGCGAGATAACAACCATTGATTGGTAACCAAAACTCCAAGCAGATAAATACCTAGAAGATGCTTCAACCGAGGTTACAGGCACATTACTAGTAGTAGATGAATCAGCCCATAGTTGATTACTAGTTCCTTGTTCGTTACTCGTCTCTGAACCAAACACACAGTATACAGAAGAACCACAAAGATCAAGTCTTTTTGTATCACATTATATTATCATCTAAGATAAAGCTTGTTTTCATCACTACCTTGATCACTACTATTATTCCAGATTCTTCTAACAACTCCTAGAGAGCAAAATCTTGACGTGTCCGTGGTCTATAAGCAAACAAGGAGAGAGATTAAAGATTAAAAGATTCACACAGAGAAGTGTTGATTATGTTTCTTCAGTTACCTCTTTTTTCTCGCCTAGGTTACTCTCATCTTCATGATCAGAAAGATCTGGAAACACAGGTATCGAAGCAATATCAACTTGATGAACACGCAAAGGTACACTCAGAAGAAGCCAAAAGATTACATGCACAGACTGAATACAAAGAAAACAGAGAGATCTCGCAATTAAGTAAACGAAACAACACAGTCGAAGAAGAAGATGAAGAAAGAATAAGGAAGAAACCTTGATAAAGAAGAGGATTCGAGAATATATCCTCCAGCAACTCGTCTTCGTCTCTCGCCGCCATTTTTGCAGTCACATGCAGAGGAACGAACGAAAAGGATTCTCTCTCTCTCTCGCTCTTTCTTGAGTATCAAGAAACCTTCTTGTGAACTTCTTTCCCTCTCTGTTTCTCACTCTTTTAATCTTTGAGCTTTATATATAGTTTTTTTTGGATACGAGATAAAATAAAATATAAATTCATATTAACACATGAACCCTTTTAGTCAACGTAGTACTCATTGTAAGTTTTTGGGTTATCTATAGATTTACCCTTATTATGGTAAACTAAAATTGTGTTTCACCATATTTTTTCTAAAACTTGATTACACTAACAAAATTAACCCATCACTACACTGTAAAAAACATATTTATTTAATTGTGTTATATCTTGACTTCTTGATGAAACTCTCAAACTAGTATTAACAAAAAGTGAAAGAAAGATAGAACGTAGTTACATCCAGAAAACATTATTTGAGTTTTTTCTCGTAGGCTAAGGCCTTAATATTCACAAACAAAGTAGCTTAAAGCCATCGAAAGAAAGTGACTGATATGGTTTTGGATTATTCTAGTTCTCTCGTGGCCATAACCGTTGTTTGGTTTGATCAGACAGATCATAACTCCTATCGTTTTGTTGGTTCTGAGTTGCAAAGATCTCACTCCGAAGCTGCTGTAGTTGGCGGCTACGTTTGGTAGTCGGTGGCCACACAATTGAATCTCCTCTCTGTGAACAAAACAACAAGCAAAGAGAAAAAAAAAAGCTTTACTTACATGCCAAGTCATCGAAACCCTAAGAGAGATTTGTTAGGTTTAAACCTGATGCTGAACTGATGGCAAGTGGTTCCTTGATACACCTTCATAGCCAAACCTTAAGTTTGCAGCGTTATCACTCGACTTGACAAAGCGGTTAACATACACCTTGATACACCTTCATAACAATCAATAACTCCTACACTTGTACGATCAACCACCAGTAACCTCCTAATCACTTTCTCAGATGGATGACCCATCCTCATATACCAAATTTTTATTGATTCCAACTTGTTAACTTTCTTCACATTCATGCTTTTCTGAATACCTTGAAAAAAATATAATTCTTCTTTCACATGTTCCAATCACTTCCTGCAAACGACAATCATACACCAGACAACTCATCTTATCAAACAATGCCATACAACCCATCTCGTCAATCATCTGGGATACAAATATCAAGTTAGACTCTAGCTCTTCAACCAATAAAACACTACAAGAAAAATGGGTTTTGTTAGCGGACGAAAAACGCTATATAACAATACCATAGCGGTTTTCGAAGCGCTGTATCATCGCCCGTGATAATAGGTCACACACATTACATAGCGCTTTTTTGCTTTGCTATATTTGCTTCCGATACAATAGCGTTTGTTCTAATGCAATTAATACGTTTTTAATAGCGTGTCTTTAATGCTGTTATTTATTTATTTGTAGCGTTTTATTTATGTTATTATTAATACTATTATAGCAGTTAATTATATGCAATTGTTTATTCTGTATATTATATTATTAATTTTGAAATTATTAATTTATATACGANGCTATATTTGCTTCCGATACAATAGCGTTTGTTCTAATGCAATTAATACGTTTTTAATAGCGTGTCTTTAATGCTGTTATTTATTTATTTGTAGCGTTTTATTTATGTTATTATTAATACTATTATAGCAGTTAATTATATGCAATTGTTTATTCTGTATATTATATTATTAATTTTGAAATTATTAATTTATATACGAAAAAATGTATTTTGAAAATTATTTTACTAATGAAATTTTGTATTAAAAAACATAATTATATTATTAAACATACTTCAACGGTTCATACAAAAGATATTAGACAAAATAAGTTCCAAGTACTTCCTAATACATCACAAGCAACCATGGCACATAGTACAACAAGTTTCAAAGACAACATACTTGACTCAGAGCAAAACAATCTTATCATTTGGCCAAGCCACCGTGCTTCCTACTGCATCACCTATGAATTCTATCTCAGAGTTTGGCCTCCACACTCGTGCACCAGCGAACTCAGAAACCTCTACCCAGACCTTACTAGCATTGGGACCTAAAGGGACGAAATGTACTTTCTCTGCTGGATCAGTTGAGAATACTCGGCCTAAAGCAACTCTCTGTCCAGTGTTGTCGCAGTCCAATAGAGCACACTTCTGTTTACTACCCTTGCTGCTACTACCAGTGCTGTTACCACTCTAAAACCCAAACAAAAATGAAGGACACAATCATTCCCATTCTAATATGAACAAAGGTTCATAAACCAACATTATCATAGAACTTAGTGAAAATAACATGCATCAGAAACGTACCTGACTTGAATTCTTTGTTGATTGAGTTGGAGAATTTTCTTCTGGTTTATGTAGCTTATCTATAGGCCATGCAATTGTCTCATGTAGTGCCTCACCCATCTTTGTCATTTCAGGCGTTGGTCTCCAAATGAATGCACTCGATTTCAGAACCTGATCAACTCTAAGAACTGCAGCATTCGGCCCTAATGGAATTTCGTTGACTAGTTCACTAGGTGAAGTCGACAACAACACACCCTCAGCAATCAACTCAGCTTCAGGTTTCCAGTAGTCATATATGAGGACTTTTTCAAATGATGCACCCATAGGCTTTAACACATAAAACATATACATGCTTAGTAATGTATTCCATATAAAATATAAGGGAACCGAAAGCAGAATGAATTTACCTCTGACCCATCGGTGTTAACGTTGTTCGTTAAGTCATTACAATCATCCAAGATGAGCTTGTCTGAAGGCCATGCTATTTTCATTCCAACAGCTTCACCAAGCGAAAGACAATTTGGTGTAGGTCTCCAAATAGAGGCATTTTCGACTGACACAGACTTCACAACAACAGCAGCCGCATTAGGACCCAGAGGTATTCTACCAATCTTATAGGTGGTTTCACTGGAGTGGTACTCTCCTTCAGCAACAACAACATCATCAACTGCAACCCAATCAAGTATCTGGCAACGTATTCCTCTTTTGCTAACATTGCTTAACTCAGAAGAAGAAACATATTCCTGGTTTTTCTGTCAAGATTAGCATTAGAAGAACATAGAATTAAAACTATATATAGATGGTATTTAAGAAATTACCTTTTTGCCGGCTAAGTCTTTCACCACATTTTCCAAATCTTCAATCTTGCTAATTAGTTCTACTTGAGTGGCTTGAAGTTTCTCAACATGAGAGTCTCTAGCTTGTAAGTAAGCCAACTTACTCGCAGTAACCCCTCTGCCCATTCCCCTAACTCTTCCTGATTTATCCTTTCCTAGCACCTGACTAACAGCATCTTCATTGATGTTATCTGCCGAACTTGAATCCATCTCACTGTCAATTCTCTTTATCTTCTCCTGCATATAAAAACCATCTTAATCTGTAAACTATTCTTTGTAAGCAACAGAATATGAAGAACTTGTAATAGTTCAAATCTTTCTTACTATTGTTTCTGCGAACTCTTGACACACGGGTCTACCATCAGAATGTGTATGACCAGCTACCCAGACTTTAGTTCTAGTTACTTTCTTAGGATCAGAACTGTTTTTTTTCTACAATTTTTAAAGCAAAACAAGTCAACAATGAAAGATAGATGGAATGAAAGCTGAATTTCAACTATACCATCTCATCTGCTAGGCGATTCATGCCTTTACGGCTTGTGGTGTGAGGAATCTGTCCTTTCCTGAGTTGCCTGTATTTGTTACTTTGTTCCTACGCAAACCATTTACAAGTTCAGTTAAAATGCCTTAAAAAAACTCTATTTATAATCAAAAGACATTATACATACCTGGAAAGCTGTTGTACATCTGCCTTTCACCCAATTGTTCCAAGCTGTAGAAGACTGTATGTTTCCTGGCTTCATTTTC